TTTAATAATTCAGTCTCCATAGAGACTGTCAAAAATTGCCAATGCTGACTATATTTCAAGTCGTCATGGCGGGGTATTGGGAAAAGTTTTCAATTAGCAATAATCGCGCCTCGGATAAACCTCATTGGCTATGATACTGCCACTGCGCGAAGCTGATTTTTGTATTTTTAATATACACGGGGTTTTACCATGTTGCCCAGGCTGGTATTGAATTTCTGACCTCAGGTGATCCACCCTCCTTGGCCTCCCAGAGTTCTAGGATTACAGATGTGAGCCACCGTACCTGGCCAAAACATCTTTTTAGGACCTAAAATTGACTGCAATTTGTATAACTTTTTGCCTTTACCTGTCTTTATCATTTGCTCTCAGAGTAGTGCTGCTTGTTTAAATACTGAGGAATTTATTCTCTTTGCTTTTAAGATGCTCTTGATTTTCATTGGAAATTCAGAGAACTGGGAGGATCATGGGCTAGGTTAGCCAGGGGAGTCTGAGTGGAAGTGGTAAAGGTGTCTAGAGTGTGATGGTTTCAGAAAAATGAGGAAGAGATACTGTTGTTAGGTAGGAGAACAACAAATGGAATGGAGTATGACAGTTCTGGGAGCTGGCAAGAAGGTTTATCTGATTAAAACACTTTTGCCTTGGGAATAGCAGGACAGAAATTTGTAATTTAAGTGAAGACAGTTGATAAGCAGTGTTGGATGACAGACTGAGGCGTTGATTATGATCCACCAAGTAGACTTGGGGGGATAATTTTTTTTCTATTTAGGATTTCTGTTAGTGATGGAAAAATCAGTGGAGATTTAAAAATCATATTTAATAATATACCTGCTACTGTTTACAAATATAAAAGAATGCTCTTCTAGTTTTAAAAATTTAGACCAAGGTTTATACAAATTGTCAGTAAGTCAAAATTCCTTATGACTATTTTCAGGTTGGACAGAGGTAGGGAGATGATGTGAGATGGATAGGCTAATGCTCAGCAATGTGGTAACAGAGTTTCATGGAATAGCAGCCCTGTCTTGATACCATGATTTTGCGATTTTGCCATTTTAAGTCTTTTTGGCTCTTCTTCTCTAGTTTCAAACATACTTTCATCTCTTCATACTTTTCCGTGATCATAATGAAGTTTAATGAAGGGCTGGAATTATCTACTCCTGCCTTAGGAAAAGCTGATTGTAGTTTTAATCTTTTTTGCTTTATTTATTTATTTATTTAAGGAAAGCTGATTGTAGCTGATTGTAGTTTTTATTTTTTTGCTTTTTTTTTTTTGAAAGCAAGGGAATGGCCTGCTTTAAGTGAGCAATATGATTTAAGAAAATCACAAAATGGGTTAGTTGGAAGGGATAGTTGTTAATTATTTAGATAGGACTATGAACAATTGGTGTTGAAGCCATGTTTTTCTCCAATTTCCCAAACTAGTGTAACCCTGGTTTCTCCAAATATACTGTGGAGGAGGAAAGGTTCTAAGTGACTTGAGTATGGGGAAAAGCTCTATAATACATCTCTGAGTATTCTGAGGTCCATTAACATATAAAAGACTGAGAAGCCCTGGAGTTAAATATATGTATATAATAGAGATGGAGTCTCACTATGTTGCCCAACTGGTCTTGAACTCCTGGCCTCAAGTGTGAGCCACTACACCCAGCCCTATTTTTTGTATTCATTGTTTTCCACATATGTTTAACCATGAGTCCCTCTTCCCCTTCAACCAACCCAGCCTTTAAAAACATGGTACTGATTAATATACAAGGACCTAAATAGAAGCCTGATATATGAGAAGGAGCGTATTTGGGGCTATTACCTTAATCCTGTGCCTGTGGATCTTTTCTTTCTTTTTTTGTTTTTTGGTTGTTGTTGTTTCATTTTGCTGTTTCATCTTAACTCTGCCGCCTAGGCTGGAGTGCAGTGGAGCCATCTCAGCTCACCTCAACCTCTGTGTCCCAGGCTCAGGTGATGCTCCCATCTCAGCCTCCTGAGTAGCTGGGACTACAGGTGTGTGCCACCATTTTCAGCCATTTTTTTAATTTTTAAAATTTTTTTGTAGGGACAAGGTCTTACTAGATTGCCCACACTGATCTTGAACTCCTAGGCTCAAATGATCCTTTCCACCTCAACCTCCCAAAATGCTAGGCTTACAGGTGTGAGCTACCATGTCTGGCTGAATTTTTTCTAATGATTTTGAAAGCTTAGTTGTCTCACTGTTTGCATTCCTTCATTGGAGCAGGATGGGAGAAGGTTTAGTATGTAAATTTAGGACAAGATTAGTGAAGTGTTTTTAAAAAATCAAAAGTCATATTAAAAGTATTATTGGATGATAACATTTTTATAGTAAGAAGAATCAGTTTTTATTTCAGACAAACCCATTTCAGTGAATGCAGTTTTGGTCAGGAATGGTTTTGTTGTAAGGAACAGAACTCACTTAAATTTAGCTCAAGTAAAGGGAATTAAGCATATTGGTAAGCATCTAAATCAGGTAAGAATTGAATAACAGGGCCGGGCGCGGTGGCTCAAGCCTGTAATCCCAGCACTTTGGGAGGCCGAGGCGGGTGGATCACGAGGTCAAGAGATCAAGACCATCCTGGTCAACACGGTGAAACCCCGTCTCTACTAAAACTACAAAAAATTAGCTGGGCATGGTGGCGCGTGCCTGTAATCCCAGCTACTCAGGAGGCTGAGGCAGGAGAATTGCCTNAAAAAAAAAAAAAAAAAAAAAAAAAAAAAAAGAATTGAATAACAGGAAGCATAAAGACTTGAAGGGGTGTGTGTGTATATATATACATTATTTATATATATATATATATATATATATATAGTGTACGTATATACGTGTATATACACCCGTATATATACGTATATACGTACACGTATATATGTATGTATATACGTGTATATGTACACGTGTGTATATATGTGTGTGTATGTACATATATATGTATACACGTGTATATATAGTATATATATACACACGTGTATATACACATGTATATGTGTATATACACGCGTGTGTGTGTATATATATATATATATATATACACACACACTTTTTTGTGCGTGATGGTGTTTCGCTTGTTGCCCAGGTTGCAGTGCAATGGCATGACCTTGGCTCATGGCAACCTCCACCTCCTGGGTTTAAGCAATTCTCCTGTCTCAGTGTCCCAAGTCGCTGGGGTTGCAGGTGTCTGCCACCATGCCCGGCTAATTTTGTATTTTTAGTAGAGAAGGGATTTATATATACGTGCTTCAGATCTATATGTACGTATATACGTATATATACGGGTGTATATATACGGTCAGACTGGTTGGAAACTCCTGACCTCAGGTGATCCACCAGCCTCGGCCTCCCAAAATGCTAGGATTATAGGCGTGAGCCACCACTCCTGGCTGAAGATGTATGTATTAATGAATTTTTTTCATTCTGTTCTGTCATTAACTTGTCTTAGTTTTCAGGTCTGCAAGTGTTAGTTTTAGTTAGTGGCCAGTCAGTTGTGACTAGAAGAGGTTATGTGTAAAGTTAGTCTTTCCTTATAAAGCATTTGTAGAGATAGGAAGGAGACTTTGGTCATCTTCGGTAAAATTGCCATTTAAAAGAAGTGTTTTGAATCACAACCCTGTTTATCACGTTATAGTAGATAATTTTAAGTAATAGTGGGTTGTGTTGTATTGTTTTTGACAAATGAACTGTATATAATGAAAAATCTCGATGCACCGAATGCTGACAGTGTGACATGGTGTTTGAAACATTAGCTTTGGTGTTAGATCTGCCTGGGTTTGATTCCCACTTTGACCACTTGATTATTTGTGACTCTGAGAGGGCAAGGCTGAATATTTTCCTACTTAACCTTCAATGCCTAGCTCTATTCTTGGCATATAATAAGAACTTTATAAATATTTGGTGAATGAATGGGTTAACTTCATGCTACATTCTGCTGCATGAAGTTAATCATACTCCCTCGGCAGTATTTTGCAGTTCAGGTGAGAAAATGTTTGAGGCACTTCACACAGGATGCAGTAACAACAACACAGTAACACAAGTGTAGCAATAATACAACAAGTGTAGCCCTTTATTATTGTATGTATGAACATATACATGTTATAAATATATATTATTATATATGAACATATAAATTGTTATATATATGAACAGCCATTCTCTAATTATGGCATACTGGCTGTATACACTGTAGAATGATAAAGGGATAGACAATTTTAGAGCTTTTTGGGTTGTGTGTGCGTGTGTGTATGTGCACATGTGTGCATGTTTTTAAGTGGCAGCTTTTCCACATATTTTCTTTCCTCTAAGGATGGGAAGGAGGGAACTTACTAAATGTTCAAAGTTTATGTTGGAATCAAACAAATCCATTGGGGAAGTGAGGGAGTGAGGAGTGAAGATATAGGAATGATTAAGCTGCTGTGTTCAAAGTATTTTTTAAAAACTTTCTTATCTGCCATAAAGAGGCTCTGTTATGTTTGTAACTCCTATCAGAATTGATGTATCCTTCTATATTCATTTAACAAATGCTTATTTATGACTATATGCTAGGCCCTGTCCAAGACATGGGTAAGAGTTGTAGCTTACTCTTGAGAAACTATGGATAAAAGTTGCCAAATAGTTGAAAAGATGAGTGATTTGGGAGGTGTGTTTTTTCTTTTTTTCAGTGACCTTTAGTGAATTCTTTTTTTTTTTGAGACGGAGTTTCACTTATGTTACCCAGGATGGAGTGCAATGGCCCGATCTCGGCTCACCGCAACCTCCGGCTCCTGGGTTCAGGCAATTCTCCTGCCTCAGCCTCCTGAGTAGCTGGGATTACAGGCACGCACCACCATGCCCGGCTAATTTTTTGTATTTTTAGTAGAGACGGGGTTTCACCGTGTTGACCAGGATGGTCTCGATCTCTTGACCTCGTGATCCACCCGCCTCGGCCTCCCAAAGTGCTGGGATTACAGGCTTGAGCCACCGCGCCCGGCCTAGTGAATTCTTTATAATGGGATAGAATTTAATTACTTAGTTTCCTTTTAAGTCTTTTGATTCCTAAAGACAATGCTTTCTAATATTTTTGGAAAGCCACTTAAATATGTCTTTTTAAGAACTCTTTTTATTTAAACTTGAAGTATATTTTAAAACAGTCAAATAATTATTAAGGATCTGATTTCAGTATTAAATTGAGAACAACCACAAACACATTTTTGACATAAGGAGTTTGAGCCCCAATTTTTGATTGAATAGGAACAGAGGAATTTTTTTCAAAGAAATCCTGCTTAATTTACTTTCTTTGATTTTGAAGGAGATGGACGAACACATGCGGAGCATGTTGCATCACAGGGAACTTGAGAACCTGAAGGGCAGGTATGAGAACGGCTCTCTTCCATAAGTTTGTGAATGTGAGTGGATCTGAGTGATGATGGTGCGTGTCAGTTTGTTTTGTAGTAATTCATCACAAACGAATGTTGTCTTATGGCATAAAACAACCTTTTCAAATTAATACTAACTATAGTCGATTTTTGGCATTCAAAAGTGATAAACTCTGTTACCTTTCGGCATCTCAAATGTGTGAATTCACAGCAGCCCTATCAAGTAGATTACGACAAAGGTGTAAGCTTTCTCATTTCTACATGCCAGCCTTGCAACTAGGACATTTTTATTATTTTTACTTTAGCAGTGTTCCAAGTTATTGCATGCCATAAACATTTAGTATTGCTGGAATTATCTGAGATGTCCAAAGGCTGCTAGATAGCACTGAATCTCATTGGCATAGACAAAATTGAAATATAAACCTTAACTGTATTTAAGAATGCTGTTCAGGTGCGGTGGCTCACCCCTGTAATCCCAATACTTTGGGAGCCCAAGGTGGAAGGATTACTTGAGCTCAGGAGTTTGAGACCAGCCTGGGCAACAGAGCAGGACCTTGTCGTTAAAAGTAAAGAAATTAGGTGGGTGTGGCTGCTAATACCCTGTGGTCGCAGCTGTTTGGAGGCTGGGGTTGGGAGGATCACTTGAGCTTAGGTAGGTCCAGGCTAAGGTGAGCCGTGATCGCACCACTGCCCTCCATCCTGGGTGACAGGGTGAGATACTGTCTCAAAAGAGAAAAAAAAGAAGAATGCTATTCTGTGATTTAAAGCTTGAGATATTTAAGGAAAGGAAATCTAATAAGTGGACACCTTTAAAAAATGAAATGTAGGCTGCATGCAGTGGCTCATACCTGTAATCCAGCAATCTGGAAGGCTGAGCCAGGTAGATTGCTTGTGCCCAGGAGTTCAAGACCAACCTGGGCAACATGGGGAAACCCCATTGTATTAGTCTGTTCTCTGCTGCTAATAAAGACATACCCGAGACTGGGTAATTTATAAAGGAGAGAGGTTTAATTGACTCACAGTTCTATATGGCTCGGGAGGCCTCACAATTATGGCAGAAGGCGAATGAGGACCAGAGTTACGTCTTACATGGCAGCAGGCAAGGGAGCTTGTGCAGGGGAATTCCCATTTATAAAACCATCAGATCTCGTGAGACTTGTTCACTGCCATGACAACAGTTTAGGGGAAACTACCCCAATGATTCAGTTATCTCCACCTGGCTCTACCCTTGACATAAGAGGATTATTGCAGTTCAGTGAGATTTTGGTGGGGACATAGCCAAACTATATCACCCATCTCTATCTCCTGCTCCCCAGAGAACCCCCCAAATTAGCTGGATGTGGTGGTGCGTGCCTGTAGTTGCAACTGTTGGTCAGCCTGAGGTGGGAGGATGCTTGAGCCTGAGAGGTGGAGGTTGCAGTGAGCCAAGGTCATACCACCACACTCCAGACTGGTGACAGGGCCAGACCCTGTCTTAAAAAAAAAAAAAAAGCATGTGTGTATATTCCATGTCTTTTTGTCTATTTGTGATTTCTTTTTTGATGTATTTGACTTGTGTCAATTTGAAGTTTGGAAACAGGATAGATGAGAAACATTGGGAACCTAGGAAACAGGAAATGTATCTTATCCCATGAATAATAGTTAAAAGTTTTGATCAGGATGTCAACCTAGGTCATTTGAAATTTTTTTTTATGACCTACAGTTTTAAGATTCTGTGGGCAAATTAATGTGTTATTGAAGTTTTAGCATCCCTGCATCTCTTTAGCCTATTAGTGGAATTTTTCCCTGCCCCAAGTCTCTTACTGTATGAAGGTTAGGCCTTGGCAGCAATATAAAGGAGACTGTCACTCAAATTTAGTATGGGGAGCCCTTATTATTTTTAATATGTACTTTTTTGAGACAGGGTCCTACTCACTCTGTCACCCAGGCTGGAGTGCCATGGCACGTTCACAGCTCACTGCAACCTCGAACTCCTGGGCTCAAACAACCTCCCACCTCAGCTTACTGAGTATCTGGGACTGCAGGTGTGTGCCACCATACCCAGCTGATTTGGTTTTTATTTTTTGTGAAGACAGGTTTCCACTCTGTTTCCCAGGGTAGTCTTGAATTCCTGGGCTCTAGCTGATTCTCCTGCCTCAGCCTTCTGAAGTGCTGGGACTACAGGTATGAACCACTCTGCATGGCCAGAAGCCCTTGTCATAATACCTTGAATATATATGATCACTACCTCATTAACATCCAAAATCTATGAAATGCAGTCAACTTTTGATTGTCTGTGGAATATTTTACTTATTTAAAAATCTCATTTTCAACAGACTTCCTTCTAGAGTTCCTTTTATTACGTGTTACTTACCTGCCATCCAACCCTTATGTCCTATATCATTAAACAAAACAAATAAGGTCAGTAAATCTAGTCTGTTGGAGAGAAGCCCACTGCATTCAAAGATTAATGCCTCATTTATTTCGGACATCACCAAACAGCCATTTAAAACATTTTTAAAAACTCAGTTTGTCCAAGCACTTTGGAGGCCAAGGTGGGTGGATCACCTGAGGTCAGGAGTTCAAGACCAGCCTGACCAACATGGTGAAACCCCGTTTTTAAAAAAAAACAAAAAACTCAGTTTGGGTTGGATGTGGTGGTTCATACCTATAATCCCAGCACTTTGGGAGGCCAAGACAGGAGGATTACTTGAGCCCAGGAGTTTGAGACCAACCTGGGCAACATAGTGGGACCCCTGTCTCAACCAAAAAAAAAAAAAAAAGCCAGATGTGGTGGCTTGCACCTGTAGTCCAGCTACTAAGGAAGCTAAAGCAGGAGAATCCCTTGAGCCTAGGAGTTCGAGGTTGCAGTGAGTTGTGATCATGCCACTGCACTCCAGCCTGGGCGACAGTGAGACCCTGTCTCAAAACCAAGTTTGGTCACATAAGGCTCATGTTTATAATCAATACAGAATCATAAAAAGTTTTTTAAAAAACAAAAGTCTTCTCCCCACCCCCCTCACCATTCCTCCATTCCCCTCTAAACCCTATTTCCCTCTTAGAGGAGACTTGGTGGTTTGGTGTATATCTTATCCTGGCCTTTTTTCTTTTTGGAGATGGAGTCTTGCTCGGTTGCCCAGGCTGGAGTGCGGTGGCACCATCTCATCTCACTGCATTTGCCTCCTGGGTTCAAGCAGTTCTCCTGTCTCAGCCTCCTGAATAGCTGGGACTACAAGTATGCACCACCATGCCCAGCTAATTTTTGTATTTTTAGTAGACAAAGGGTTTCACTATGTTGGCCAGGATGGTCCCAAACTCCTGACCTCATGATCCACCTGCTTTGGCCTCCCAAAGTGCTGGGATTACAGGTGTGAGCCACACGCTGGCCAGACCTCTTTCTGTGTTTTCTAATATACATACATGATTTATTGATTAATTGACACAGAGTTTTGCTCTTGTTGCCCAACCTGGAGTGCAATAGCACTATCTGGGCTCACTGCAACCTCTGCCTCCCGGGTTCAAGCGATTCTTATGTCTCAGACTCCCTAGTTGCTGGAATTACAGGCACACACTACCATGCCCTGCTAATTTTTTGTATTTTTAGTAGAAATGGGGTTTCACCATGTTGGCCAGGCTGGTCTCTAACTCCTAACCTCGGGTGATCTTCCTGCCTCGGCCTCCCAAAGTGCTGGGATTACAGGTGTGAGCCACCACACCCTGCCCATACATTTGTATTTATAGATTCACATTTTGTTTTGTGATCTTAGCATAACTGAACCACATTATCATTTATGTTTTGTTCTGTAATGTGTTTCTTTTTCGCCCATGCAACTACAGTGTGCCATGGAGACTTTATCTACCATTTTCAATTATTTGGATCACAGTCAAATAAATAGGAAAAAGGCACTAAAAGCCTCTTTGAATGTCAGGTTTAGCACTCTAACTCATTTTCTTTAGAGGATAGCACTTTAGTACTTATTTACTCACATACTGGATATAGTGTTCCTGATCTGTAGCAAATTATGTTACATGTGAGAAAGAAGAAAAACAGGTACCAAGAAAAAACAGCTTACAAAATTATAGAAAACCCCATAAAATCTCAAAAATTGTTTACTGACTTGGAGCATTTACTGTAAGGATGGTCTTCACCAGTTTGTGCCATAGAGACAAATAATTATTGGTCATCATACCTTTACCGTGTTATTCTCAGTTTGTGATTGTTTTCTCTGGATTTCATTTTTAACGACTGGGTGTCTGACTTTGATACTTTCTTTTCCTCTTTATGGTTGTGTCTCAGTTTTTGATTGTGATCTGGCTAAGAATTGCAAAGTATGTTGTTTAGGCTTTGCATGAAAGCTTGAATGAGCAGTAAGTAACTGGTCCTATTTGGTTCACAGCTGTAGATATGTGAAACATTTCCCTATTTTTTCCTAATATATTTCTTCAGATGTGTGGGCCGTAAGTAGCGTCTCTGATAGAGACTATTAAAAAGGCACAAACCTTTATTTATTCAGCAGCTGTTGTTGGGTAGTTAGAGCAAGCTTAATAAAGAAAAGCTTATGGAGAGAATATCTTAAGACTTTGCGTTTCACACATGAGAGGAAATTGTGTGGTGACAGGATGAAGCTAATTTAGGCCCTCCTTTAAATGCCCTAAGGAAAATTATTGCCTTTGCTAGCCAAGAAGCAAAACTGTGTGTTTCCCCCATAATTATTTTATTTATTTATACAAAGTAGTACATATTTTAACTGATTATTAATAAAGAATTGTTAAGTAGCATCATTAAAATATTATTTAATTTGCTGTTAGGTTTTTAAAACATGATTTCTCAAACTTCCATTATATGTGGAAGCATGAATGCCTGTTGTGTAGAGAACAGGGGCAATATGCTTACTCCATACGCATTTGAATTTTCAGAAGATGTGGTTACATAGAGAAGGAACAGCGTAGTATAACCACATCTCCTGAAAATGCAGATATGTGTGGAGGTAGCCATATTACCTCTACACACTTTTGGAAGTTTCTTGTAAAGTTTGTATTTAAACTGGATTTTATTTATATGAAAAATGTTAGGGATTTGGTTTTTTGCAAAATCATTTTTAGTGTTAACTTTTATACTGCAGTTATTGCCTGTGCCCTTCTGGGCAGGATCTCTGGTATGTTCTCTATCAAATAATTTTGGAACTATGGTTATATTCTTTCTCAGTAGGATTGCAAAATGGTTTGAAAATGTTTGACTGTATCCAACATACGTTTGTGTTTTGGGGGTTGCAGGATATGTGGTTTATGATTATGGAATTTATTTTTAACAGTTAAGTTCTGCCTAGTTTATACAACATTCCTCAGTAGTTTGGAAAGTCAGTATGGCTTTCTAGGTGTATCTTTTAAGAGAGAGTGGTTTTGATGGTTTGAGCCTGAGAAAAATTCTCTGCATTCCAGAAATAAGGATAAAATCAGGGATTTTATTGCCGGGCGCGGTGGCTCAAGCCTGTAATCCCAGCACTTTGGGAGGCCGAGACGGGTGGATCACGAGGTCAAGAGATCGAGACCATCTGGTCAACATGGTGAAACCCCGTCTCTACTAAAAATACAAAAAAAATTAGCTGGGCATGGTGGTGCGTGCCTGTAATCCCAGCTACTCAGGAGGCTGAGGCAGGAGAATTGCCTGAACCCAGGAGGCGGAGGTTGCGGTGAGCCGAGATCGCGCCATTGCACTCTAGCCTGGGTAACATGAGTGAAACTCCGTCTCAAAAAAAAAAAAAAAGAAAAAAATCAGGGATTTTATTTTAAAATATCTTTTAGGGATTATATTGAAGTCTCCAATTGAAAGATGTCCCTGGTACTGCAATATACAGTTTAGCATTCTATGAGTTTTTAGGTAAAAAACTAGGCTAAAACATTTTCCACAGTTTTAGAGAGTTTTAAGACAAAAATATTTTTTAACTGGAAAATGAGTTGATTAGAATGTTTATAGTGTAAATGAGATATTGTAGATTTGTTATAGTCTTCAGACTGTTCTGATGCTGCCCTTTGTGATAGGTTATATATTGTTCATTTCTTTGTGTGTTGCTTTGAGAAACAGCTTGTTATTAGCATTCAGTTGGAATGGGCTACCATCAATTTAATTGCTTGAGAGAAAAGTATCAGTATCCCTGGTAAACTGGAGAAAGTTGAGGATTATTTCTTTTTTTTTCTTGAAATGGAGTCTCGTTCTGTCACCCATCCTGGAGTGTGATGGCATGATCTCGGCTCACTGCAACCTCCGCCTGCCGGGTTCACATGATTCTCTTGCCTCAGCCACTTGAGTAGCTGGGATTACAGGCATCTGCCACCACACCCAGCTAATTTTTGTATTTTTAGTAGAGATGGGGTTTCACCAAGTTGGCCAGGCTGGTCTTGAACTCCAGACCTCAGATGATCCACCTGTCTTGGCCTCCCAAAGTGCTGGGATTACAAGTGTGAGCCACCATGCCCGGCCGAGGATTATTCTTTAAGTGTACAAATGTAGAAAGTGCAGTTGAAAACTCTCAGTAAAAATAAGGCATTTAAGTACCTGTGGAATTAGAAGGAATTAGAATATTGATATTCTGAGTAATCAGGTATTGATATTTTTAGGGAATGTATTTGGCTGTGCATGGTAGTTCACACCTGAAATACCAGCACTTTCGGAGGCTGAGGCGGGTGGATCACGAGATCAGGAGTTCAAGACCAGCCTGGCCAATATGGTGAAACCCCATCTCTACTAAAAATACAAAAATTAGCTGGGTGTGGTGGTGCCCCCTGTAGTCCCAGCTACTCAGGAAGCTGAAGCAGAATTACTTCAACCCCGGAGGTGGAGGCTGCAGTGAGCCGAGGTTGCACCACTGCACTCCAACCTGGGTGACAGTCTTGCTCTGTCGCCCAGGTTGGAGTGCAGTGGTGCAACCTCGGCTCACTGCAGCCTCCACCTCTGGGGGGTGTGGGGAGTCAGTATTTGAGGTTACAAAGTCAAAACCAGTGAAAACTTGCAAATTTTCTCAGGTTTTCTGAGCTCTTGTCCATGATCCATACAAAATAAGGAACTGTGTTGTTTTTTAAAGTTACTGGGCATTATTTGAGTGTTTATGCTTTGTCACCCTAGACAGGAGAGACTATGCTAAGTATTTACTAGAAGACAGTTTCTGTTACCAGTCACCTGAATATTCATTCACGAAAAAAAAAAAAAAACACCTTACTAAAACACAGCATGCTTGGAATTCAGCTCTTTTTTGTAAGGTGTTTTTTGTTATGTTTTTTGTTTTTTTTTGAGATGGAGTATTGCTCTGTCTCCCAGGCTGTAGTGTAGGGGCATGATCTCAGCTCCCTGCAACCTCCACCTCTGGTGTTCAAGTGATTCTCTTGCCTCAGCCTCCTGAGTAGTTGAGATTACAGGTGTGCGCCACCACGCCCAGCTAATTTTTAGTAGAGATGGGATTTCACCATGTTGATCAGGCTGGTCTGACCTCGTGATCTGCCCGCCTCTGCCTCCCAAAGTGCTAGGATTACAGACATGAGCCACCGTAGTCCACCTTTTTTTTTTTTTTTCTTGAATGAATATTCAGGTGATCTGTAACAGATACTGTCTTCTAGTAAATCAAGTGCCCAGTTTTGAGGGTCTCTTCTGGTTAATTGAAATAAATTCTGCCCATGTCTAGTTAGCTATTTGTGAGGGAAAGATGGAACAGAAGTGCACGTGTGTGTATGTGTTTCTGTCTGGGCAAAGATGGCATGTCTTTTTTATTTTTTTTTTTAAATAGATTGGCATAGGAAGTGCACAAATATAACTAGTTTAAACCCAAGACACCTGATACAGAGTTAAGCCAATTTGGATTGTTGAATGGATACTGCTGTCTTGTAGCTATGGTGTTCAGATGTTTCTCATAAATGACTGCATAAACAGCTGACCCAGTCAAGGGATTTCCAGAAGCTAAAAAGCAGTTAAATTATTGATCTGCTACAGCTCTGAACACTGATTCGACTTTGGCTTCTGAAGACTGGCTAAGTGAGATTTGCCATAAAGTGTGTAAAGTAAAAAAAAAAAAAAAAAAAATCTGCCTAATTTAACTAAAAACCTGCTTTTGCATCCTGAACTGTAGCATTTTCTGAAACTTGAGAAAACACATTTGTCTGGCTCAGCTGTTAACTTCCTACAACTGAAATGCTTTCCATTCCCTTTAAAATAAGCTCTTCTGAAGCAGAATGTAGATCACATGTATCATCCAGACCAAAAAAGTTTGCCTGGACTACTCCTGGGGCCCGGAATCCTCACATTCCAGGCAGAGCTCCAGCTGTTCCGATTTAGTTACCCAGTTGGGATTGGCTGCGCCGCCTACTTTTTTCTCCACCCCTTAACTTTCACTGGAAGAAAGCTCTAGACTGAAGATTAAATGTAAGCGCTGTCACCAGGCTTTCTGAGTGCAGCTGGCACCATGGGTGTGCTCCAGAGCAACTTCTGCTTGCTCTGAGCCCCCTGCCCTGCCTCCCCTTTCACCACGTTTCCTCTGGCAAGATTTTAAGTACAGCAATTCAAGAAGATTTTTCCTCCTGAACGACGTTTGTCTGAAGCGTATTGCCTCTTGATTGCTGGAAAAGAATCTTAAACTCATTTCAAAAGTAACTTATAAACTTATTAAAAGTGATGAAAGGAGCATTGAAATTGATTAGCACTAATTTTTCACTGTGCCAAAGTGTACAGTGTCCTTCAGAGGAAACTATAACAGATCTGGTGAGTGTGCCATGCCAGTGGGGAGAATTGAATGTCCCTCATCTCCCTCTTTCCCTAGGGACATTAGTCATGAGTGCCGAGTGTGCGGGGTCACAGAAGTGGGTCTTTCTGCATATGCAAAGCACATTTCTGGCCAGTTGCACAAAGATAACGTTGATGCCCAGGAAAGAGAAGATGATGGAAAAGAAGAGGAAGAGGAAGAAGATTATTTTGACAAGGAACTCGTTCAGTTAATAAAACAAAGGAAAGAACAAAGTCGGTAAGTAATTGATTTTTTAAAAAGGCTATCAATAACAGAACATAGTAGAGAATACATTTTATAACTTTGTACAGTTCAGCCTATAGCATTTAAACTAAGGTGTAAAGTTTAGCTTGAGGTTGTTGTCTTATTAATCTAAGACAATGACATGCTTTGTTGAGCTACTGTAATATCTCCTTAAAAGAGCAAACTCAATATTGTTCCTACATAAGCTGTAATCTGAAATTACATATCAGAAAATTTTGCAATGTTGGTAACTATGTTGAGAATGGTTTTATTGGTATCCAAATCTTTTTTTGTTGTTGTTGGAGACGGACTCTAAACTCTGTCACTGGCTGGAGTGCAGTGGTGTGAACTTGGTTCACTGTAACCTCTGCTTTCCTGTTTAAAGTGATACTCTTGTCTCAGCCTCCTGAGTAGAGTAGCTGGGATTACAGGAGCCCGCCACCATGCCTGGCTAATTTTTGTTGTATTTTTGTTAGAGATGGGGTTTCATCCCATTGGCCAGGCTGGTCTCAAACTCTTAACCTCAAGCAGTCTACCCTCAGCCTCCCAGGGTGCTGGGGTTACAGGCATGAGCCACCGTACCTAGCCGGAATCCAAATCTTTTGAATGTCAATAAGTTTTTATTTGGCGTCTAACTTTTCTAGTGGAAAGGTGTTAGAATATAAGCTTCATTGAATAAATAATATAGTATCTCTTATTGCTAAAGGAACATTTCTTAGGAAAACATATTTTGATTGGTGTGAATTAACGTGGTGTTTCTGCCAAATTTGATTTATCTGTTTGTCATTGAATCCGCAGTGACTACCACAGTGCTTTATTGAATAAATTTATATTTTATATTTGATAGTGTCGAGATCATTTGGGCAATATAATTTTTCTAACTTGTACTCCATAATTTTATACCTATATTTATACATTCAGGTATTAGGATTTTATGTTTTTACCTTACTGCTTTGTAGTCTAAATAGTTTAATTATAAAATTTGTTAAAAAGAATTTAATTAATGAAGTGGAAATTTTTAGATGTGAGGGAGGGAGAAAGAGAAGCACTTAGGAGGTGGGATAATTTTTTAAGTCCCAGAACATGTAGAGAATCATTTCAGATTCTAAAATAAAAATTTAAAGATTCTTGTTGGATACTAGTTATACCCCGTCTGTACCTCCTTTTTAGTTAGAGGCTTGACTATAAAAAGGAAGTCGTTTTTACTCTATGTGTTCAAAGTTTTTTTCATCAGAAGTGCGGTGGCTCAGGCCTGTTGTTCTGGTGCATAAAAAGATGAGGCCAGGTGTTCAAGACCAGCCTGGGCGACATAGGAAGCCCTCATCTGTGTAACAACAACAACAACAAATTAAAAACAATTTTTAAAGTTTTTAAAATACGTCCTGGAAGGAGACTTTCTTAGTCTTAAAATATCAATAAAGGGTGAGCATCCCTAATCCAAAATCTAAAAATGCTCCAAAATCCAGAACTTTTGAGTGCCAACAAGAGGCCACCAGTGGAAAATTCCATACCTCACTTTATTTTACAAAAGTATTTAAAATATTACCTAAAATTATCTTCAGACTGTCTATAAAAGTGTATATGAAAAATAAATGAATTTTATGTTTAGACTTGGGTCCCATTCCCACAATATCTCGTTATGTATATGCAAAAATGTTCCAAAATTCAAAGCAGTTTGAAATACGAAACATTTCTGGTCCCAAGCATTTCTAATAAGGGACATTCAACCTATAACAACATAGTTCTTAAATTATTTAGTAGCTTAGTCCTTCAAATGACATTTTCATTACTTTTAATATAGTTGCAGTTTACTTTCTCCTGTTTTAGGCAGTTGGAGCCTCTGGGAGGCTAACTTCTATTTTGTTCTTACATACTAGTGCCATTATTAGCTTTATCTGTGTAAATGATTAAACATTAAGTCAGAGTAGATTAGACATTTGAATCATAGTTACTATTTTTTGAGTCTTTTGATACGTCTCCTTGGTGACCTATTTATAAAATCATCTACTTATTTTTTTTTTAAATTTTTTTTTTTGAGACAGTTCTGTCACCCAGGCTGGAGTGCAGTGGCACGATGACACCTCACTGCAGCTTCAACTTCCCAGGCTCCAGCAATCCTCCCACCTTAGTCTCCCAAGAAGCTGGGAATACAGGCATGCATCACCACCATGCCTGGCTAATTCTTTTTTTTT